CCAGTGATTAATAGGTTAACTGTTAACTGGGGGGTGATTATTCCCTGCACATATGTAAAATGCAACCATACTATTTTCTTTCTGGTTTGACAAAGTCGTGTTTAATTTGTAGGAATCATTGACAGTGAGTGCTATGGTGCTGTGCAAAAGTGAATAACTGTGATTTTAAAGAGCTTTTGGCATTGTTCGCCCATGGCACCTCCACACATGATCTGACAGTATACCCTGATGATAAATGATGCTCAACAAAGCTGTGATGTAGGTGACCTGGGACACTGCACAAGCCGTCTCTACCCAATCAAAATGTTCAAACGGCCTGAACAAGAGGCTGATTGTCTTCATGTATACTCCTCCTTGTATTTCATTGTGTCTTTTTATGAAAAATAACCCATTCTCAATATTCTTGTTAATGTTATTACCGATGCTCCTGATAATACAGTTATTAACTGCCCTCTTATGCTACACTCTTGCATACTGTATGCACAGTTACACCTCTTGCTCATCTGAACAGACTGTTTCTTCCCTTATGGAGAATAAAGTTCAAAAACTGTTTATGATGAAACAAAGTCACTGTTTGATTTATTGATGAAGATGTATGATTGTTCATTTTTTGTGACTGACTGGATCAAATGTGGGTTTCAAGTTATGTCTGATTCTTGAGTTTGAACTAAAAAATGTCTGATGGAATTGACACACAAGATGATTACTTTCACCCCCACTATATGTAATTATTTTAGCAAAAATGAAAGAGTTTCCCTTACAATTTAATTTGTAATGTTAGGATTCTGTGTGGTTTCTGTGTCTTTGCATGAAACACAACATAATTACCCTCATTTCAATTAGTTAAATTAATGTGACAGGATGCGTTGGCTGCAGTCGCTTCCACAGTGGCAAGTTACTGTTTGGACAAGAATAGCAACTGACCAGGTATGTCAGGGGAGAAGTTAAGCAGAAACTTCTGCTTTTGTGGTGCAAATCATTTTAGCAGCAAAAAATAGAGAAAAGAAAAATAATATAATGTGTCACTTGTTATCGACACAATATTGAAGATCAAAAAAATCTAAATATTGACGGCTGAAAGTGCTAAAAGATGCAGTCATCACAGTTTAAATCACTGCAGGCGATGTAACATATTATTGCAAATTTTGCCATTAATTGTGGGAGGAAAATGTGGTTGATCGAAAGCAAATAACTCAACCACAGAATTTCATTGGGCTTGGCTGAATTTGCTTCGGTTTTGTTCCAATTAAGAAGTGATTGAAGAGCTTAATGCAGATGATGAAAAACAAATCAATGCTAGCAGGTAAAGTCAAACAATAAAAATCAGGAATAGAATACAATAGAATTGAATTGAATTGAATTTAATAGAATTGAATAGAATGCTTTATTGTCATCAAACATGGTGCATGACGGAATTTAAGATAGCTGCCATATTAAGGTGCATTGAAAATATAGACATAATAGACACAATAATAAAAACAATATACAACTACTGTAGTATAGTATTTACAACACACATATTAGAACACATTACTTCTGATTACTACACATTATAATAAACATACGGTTTAATAAATATATAATAAAAATAATAAATGATTAGATAAAACAACTTAAAAATTGAGCGAATCATGTTTCAGTAGTGACGTATCCACGTACACAAAATATGATTCGCTTGATCATCTATGAAGTCATCGATTGTTTTGCTTTCTTTGCTTCTTGCGCGGTATGCTGTTCAAACAGCATGTATCCCGCCCAAGCGGAGCACTCAGTAAATTAAAACAAGCACACATAAATAAGGAGGCGGGGTTTGCACAGCCTCAGCCAATCACAGCAGCTCCTGCGAAGTGCCCACCAAAACAGTTCAATTTCAAATTCAAACGGCCGGAGACGGTGGACTGGAGAGAGATTAATAAGGGGAGACGCAGTTTGTTTTTAAGGTAGGTGTCTCCATACGTCGAAACTAAATAAGTATTTCACGTTAAATTTTACAGCGGTGACTGGAAAACTCAGTTACAGCCGTCGTTTGTGTACTTTAACGTCGTAGTTTGCCTTCACATTCAAGCTAGAGGCAGTTTCCTTCCGTAATAACATGAACGGTGGTTAGTGTTGGCTGCGTTCATACGGTTAGCAGTAACCTCGTCGAAGCTAATCGACGTTTAAAACTTTCCTGTTAGCCTCCCCCTTTCATAGAATTAGTTAACGTAGGTTGTGACAGATTGTGTCGAATGTGTTTTAGCCGTCCTCGGTTGTACCAACATGTTAAAGCGTTAGCTGCCCGAATCCTGATTGTGTCCCTGACATATGATACTGATCCCCTCTTTATGAACCTTTACCTCCATAAGTGATTTTAAACGAGCTTAACTCTACGTTACATGTGACTTGCAGAAAAAGCTTAAAGTTCACTCGAATCTATTTTACAATGAATCCAAGACAGAGATTGTGTTTTCATCTGAGATTTTTTTTGCTGGATTGTTTTATACCATCCAGTGTAGGTAACCATGTTCTAGTCCTTATCTGTGCTTCTGATGTGTTAATTATTACTACATGTTTAAGCCAGTGATATAGCTTTGGTTTTGCACAAAAGAACTAAAGTGATCTTGGAAAAACCCAAAAGTTTAGCTAAACTTCTGTTTCTCAAGTTAGCATGGTTTCATAGTCCAAACAAATGTGGTGCCCATGAATGACATGAGCCTCAGCTTGACGTGATTATAAATTATATGAACCTAAACTACAAATAATGTACTATTAGATGGATTTGTCTGGGGCGTATGTGATTTCTGGCTACCAAAATTGTGAATCCAACTTCAGATACAGATTAATAATGTAATCTTTCTTGTCATGCTGTGGATTTTGCTAAAGAATCTTCTTGGTTTCTCAACATTGCTTGGTATTTATTTCACCTACCTCTGTAACTGTAATTTTTAATGTACTATGGACCCAAACTAGGCCTGGTAAAAATTACTGTGATAGAAATGTTTTAATTCTTGCTATTTTTTCTGCATAGCTGGTTTTAACCACAATTTTCCTCTCAATCCCCAGCAGAGCATGTCACGTTTGCCAGTTATGTCAAGCAAAAGGGTTCTCACAAGCAGCAGCAGCAGCTCAGAGAATGCCCAAGACTTTGCACCTGCTCAGGTTTGTATTATAAATGATCTGCATATTACATTTCACCTTCTTTGTTAGCATTCATTGTCTGTATCAGTTTTATTCTGGTGCTGTATCTCAAGCTACTCTATCAGATGCATTGTAAAGTCACCATTTATCCATCTCAATAATTACAGTTGACTTTGCACTTTCAAGGATACGCTGTTGACAGCAGAACTGAGTTTTTCATGTGCCTGTGAAGCAGATCGTTATTCTGTGCTCTGTTAAGTGTAAGACTGTGACACAGTTACACAGACATGTAAAGACTAATGTAATGTAGGTTTTTGATGTATTCTCTACAGTAGAATTTTTAGTGTGATATTTTCAGATATTCGTGTCTTTCGCTAATATTTCAAAAGCCAATAATCAATAGAGCCCATGTATTACATTTGTCATCAAACTGAAATCATTGTTCTCACTTGATGCTGTTTTTGTGTTTGCAGAAGAAAAGCCGTAAGGACTCAGACCCGGTTAAACCAAAGGCAGCAGCCACAGTAATCGGGGCCAAGAGGCCTCCTGTTGGCTCAACCAGACCACCTCTTTGTAAGTATATTGCTAACATGAACGTGCTCCGCTTATTATTGTGTAAGGACGGCATATTTGTGTCCTTTACCACACTTGCAACATGTCAGAGTTCACCAGGACTAAAAGACTTTGAGGCAAGGCTTTGGGAATTAATTGTTGTTAACTGCAATCAAGCACATGTTCAGCTTTTTTATTTATTTATTTGTTTCTTTGATTTTTGTTGTGCTCCTCTGTGCTATTACCCTGTTTGTTTTGGACAAAACATGTGCATCTTTGTTTCTCTCTGTCCCACAGCTAAGCCAGCCAGAGGAGGCGGGGCTGCCACTGTGGCTGTGGGTCCTTCCAGAGGTAAGATGAGCTGTCTGCTGGGTGATGGGTTGGAAGTGCATGATGTGTTATTTCTTTTAGTGTCAGGATTGCAGAACTTATGTTCACAAACTATATTACAGTTAAAATATGTACAATATATTAATGTTCCTCCAGTTCTGTAGTTTAGCAAGCGTTAGCAAGGAAATTCAGAAATGTCTTGGGTCCATCTTGTCAAGGCAATAAATCTTGGTGTTAAATGGACATATCAGACTTTTTATTCATTCGTTCTTAAATATTTTTCTTATTTCATCAGGTGTCCTGAAACCATCTGTAGCTTCCACTGGAGCAAAAGGAGGCAACATGAAGCAACCTGTTGTATCCACTGGTACAAAAGCAGGTGAGAAATTCACATCAAGTAAATACATGTCTGATTACTTGTATTTATGGCAGTGGACAACTAGAATTAACAACATTTCTGACAAATGATAATTCTACAAAATTGGTCATAATTTTCATTTTCTACAGAAAAGGCGTAGACAATGAACCAGAATTTTTATGCTCAGTCTTTTGTTTTAAAAATAACATTTTATTCCCTTTTTTTAGCACTGATATATTTGCATATACCTTAAGATGTTGTTGAAGAGTACGATCTTATTTAGTACATTTTTTACAACAGGCATTCTGACACATCATAGCAGAAAACGCATTCGAGTAACATCTGCAAAGTGTCCCAGTTTGACTGTGTGACTGAGTCAGCGTCCTCTGTTTCAGGACCATAAAACTGAAGCAGCTTCATTAAGTTCAGCCATTGTTGGATTTATTATTTACACCTGTGTTTTTACTAATACCAAGATGTGTTCTGTGAAAACGGTGCCCGTCGGGGAAAAAAAAAAAGTTTATGTAGTGACCTGAAAGGAAAAGTGAGCAACACTGATGTTCTTGTATACAGGTGGGACTGGTGCCCCCCGACGGCATGCGTGGGACCTGAAGGGAAAAGTCAGCGACATGGAGGATAAGATCCGTAACTACCAGACCAGGGTCAAATCTGTTAACCAAGAGAATGAGGTTCTGAAAGGCTCGATGTTCCAGAGCCAAAACAAAGTGGTTGAAATGGAGCAACAGCTTATAAAGCAGAGGAGCCAGATCAGGTGTGAGCACCACAGATTTTGAAAAATGAATTGAATTTAGTATTTTACTGTCATGTTAATGTTGTGTTAGTGTTTGTTTGAAGTCCCTTCAGTGTCCTGTCTGTTCTGTGGTTTTAGTGACTATGAGAAGGAGCTCCAGGTATTGTCAGGTGTCCGGGATGAGTTGGAGAAAGTGTCTACTGATAAGAACTGTCTTCAGAAGGAGCTCTCCAATTTAGAGGGAAAGTACAAGGTGATGGAGACTCTTCGAGACAGCCAAGAGACAGAGCTGCAGACTCTAAAGGTAAAAAGTCTGCTGCTTGACAGCTGCTGATACAGGGTATTTCTGTTTTGTGGTATCAATACAGAAATATACTCTTTGGCAAATATCACCTGCTATGCTGATTTATTTCAACAAATAACTTCCATTTAACAATCAATCAAAGACTTACTATGTGTCTAATATCTAATGAGAATTGGATTGGGAAAAAGTCTATTTTAAAACAGAAAATGTGATTTTAGAGAAGATGTGTTTTAGCTGTGCTGCTTGTCTTTTCCCTCCAGATGAAGCTGTCAGTGCAGGAGTCAACACTGGCCCGTCTGCAGGCAACTCTCAGAGACACAGAGGAGGAGGTCCGCTCTCTCAAAGATACTGTGGCCCAGCAGAAGGACGAGCTTCATGCCGGGGAGATGGAGCGCAGACAGCTGCACAACACCATCCAGGAGCTTAAGGCAAGTTATCATGTGGTGTAACTGCTCCGTGCAGCCCAGTGACAGCAAAGCCTCAAAGGCCTGTCAGCTGGCCCATCGGCTGGGCTAAAAGTTACTGGTCCTCTGGTGCTATGTTAATCCCACTGGGGTGGAAAACTCTGGAAACTTGGCTCTTTTCTCTTGTTGTTCTCTGCCACTGTTCAGTCCGTCAATTTTGCTACAACCAAAAAAATGCCACCTTTCACTCTGACCTCTCTTTGATTAATGACACTAATTTGTGTGTCTCTTTTTAATGCAGGGCAATATAAGGGTGTTTTGCAGAGTGCGCCCACTGGTGGATGGTGGCCTCAGTAAGCACATCCAGTTCACACCCACTGACAACAAGACGGTTACACTGGCCAAAACAGAGGAGGTGAGAATCCTGTCAGCATTCCAAGACATTAAGGAAACCGCAGGCCATAGTGGCAAGTGTGTCGGGTATAACTAGAATAAGAGTTAGATGTCAAAGTCACCTCAGCAAACATGTCTATCTCCATTGTGGCACTCTGCCATCAAAAAGGAAGTCATGGAAACAATTTGCTTTGAGAGATGTAAGCAAATCACAAATGACTAAATAAATTCTGCATTTTTCTGCCTTTTAGTCTCACACAGGTAAAACTGCAGACACTCAGAAGAATTATAACTTCAGCTTTGACCGAGTGTTTGGCCCCCAAGCTTCACAACAGGAGGTAAATAATGATGTATCACAGTTTGCAATATATCAAAGAATCCTCAAGTTATTGTGAATAAATATTGGGTTTTGTTTGGATGCTTGTATTTCCTGCCAGAGAAGAACATTTATGGTGATTTTGTCTCTTTGTTTTTAGGTTTTTGAAGAGATCTCACTGCTGGTGCAGTCTGCACTGGACGGCTACAACGTCTGCTGCTTTGCCTACGGCCAAACAGGAAGTGGAAAAACCTACACCATGGAGGGAGATGAGTTTGATGAGACCAGAGGCGTCATTCCCAGAGCCGTGCAGCAAATCTTCAAAGCAGCAGAGAAACTGGGAGCTCAAGGCTGGGAGGTTAGTTTGGTATTTCATGGAAGTGACTAAAGGGAAGGAAACAGTAGCATTCTAAGTAAACTCTGTTTTCTATAATGTGAGAAGCAAAAAAAATTTTTAACAGCTAAAGCAGTTAGTTTCATGCTTACATTTTATTCATGTTATTTGTTAATTCTTCGGTTGCTGAAAACACATTGTGGGATGTTTTTATCAGGTGTTAAGTCAACTCTGTTATTGACTGTAGACTCCTGCTGTAATAATTGTCCAGTTGCTTTGATAATTAGGTTTTATTGAGAAAAAAATGTGGAAACTTGAATAAATATTCTGCACATCGTTATGTATAAGATGACAGCAGTAGTGCCAATTAACCCAGCAAAAATGTTCCGAAAATTCCTTTTCTATCTCTGACGTATTGTGTGACGTTACTCTTTTCAGTTGGATATTTGGAACTGCTAAATTTTGTTTCACTCATTTACTCATTTTCAAAATATCAGTGTTAATACTCCTAAAGTGAAGAGAAAGGAGCATGACATTACACTGAAAGGTTTATGTAAAAATGCACCACCAGTCTTACAGGAGTTGCAGCCAACACAAGGATAAAGTAGTCATTGAGTTTCACACTGCGAACTTATAACCCCCGTGTGTGCTGAGTGACTGGCACACACTGAGGTTTCTATTTGTGGAGGAGGTTTAAGGTCTGTTATTATTTAATATTGATTCAACTTCTGTTTTATTTCAGTTCACCTTCACAGCAAGCTTTGTTGAGATTTACAATGAGACCCTGCGAGACCTCCTCTACACCGGCAAGGCAAGCAAGAGACCGGAACACGAGATCCGAAAGTCAACCAACAACGAGATAACAATCACCAACCTGACCTACGAAAAGGTCTCCTGCGAGGATCAGGTACGGCAGGCAGATGTCTCAGTCTCTTAACTAGACTATTTGTTGCTTGAAAGCAGAAACCTTTATGATCTCCTCCTTCTGCCAGGTTCTCGGCTTGATTGCCTTGGCCAATCAGAATCGCTCCACAGCTCAGACAGCCCAGAATGACCGCTCATCTCGCTCCCACTCAGTCTTCCAGCTGGATATTGAGGGAGTGCATGCTGGCAGGGATGTCAAATGCAAGTGTGAGTACAATCCTAGTGTCCATGCGAGTACTGGAATTTGGTTTTACTTTTATATCTAGAATATCAAAGCTGTGTACTTAATTAGTCTTTAGTTATGTAAACATTTTTTTTTTAATGCTGTAATTACTCAACATTGATGTTACTGGGCCTCCTAATACAGTTATGGGACGTGTCTTATTCAGTTGTCCTTCTTGTTGTGTCTTTGTGTAGTTGTTTGATGTGAATTCTTTTGCTAATCTGATTTCAGAACACAAGTTTAGTTGTGTTAAAGCTGAATATGTTTCCAAAAAGGATGTTTTTGTTTGCCTTTCTATGTATAGCCACTCTGTGCCTGGTGGACCTGGCTGGCAGTGAGCGAATGGTGAAGAGTCAGTCTCAGGGTGAGCGCTTCAAAGAGATGACTGCCATCAACGGCTCCCTGTCCAACCTGGGGATCGTTATCGCCGCGCTGGCCAACAAGGTCTGTAATCTGCAGCCCCAGGATCCTCAGACACCAAAAGTGCTTTATTCACTCACTACATGCTCTCGATTTTACAGCATTTCTTTTGTTTGTCACTTAAACTGACTTTGTCTGTGTTCCAGGAGAGCTACGTTCCGTACAGGAACTCCAAGCTCACCTACCTTCTGCAGGGCTGCTTGGGAGGAAACAGCAAAACGTGAGTTCTTCATCATCTTATCTTAAAGAGGCTAAAGGTCTTCTCCAGCAGAAACTCACTTCACTTCAGCTTGGAGCAGAAAAGCTAGTTTAGTTTAACTGTTAACAAAGTTACTTCTTAAATCAGGATAGAAAAAATGAAAGCTCACTCAGTTTTGAAGTAAGACATTCTGGGATGGTGTGTTTTCTTCCAGGCAGCTGGTTTATGATGATTGTGTTTGTGCTGTGTTTTTATCTCTGCAGACTGATGTTTGTGAACATCGCCCCGGAGACAGACAGCTTTGGAGAAAGCCTCAACTCCTTGCGGTTTGCCAGCAAGGTCAGTGGCCTCTACAGCTGTTTGATACGCTGTCTTGATGAGACAGCTGGTACAAGACGACACGTGCACATGAATCACATAATGTGATTGTAACTGCAGTTACAGCAAACATTAGCATTCAGCATTAAATTACCTTCTTTCCAGTAACCTATAATATAATTTCCCTCATGTTATTTGATTTATTAGCTGGGAAAGTACATATGACCCTCCTTGATCTAAGACTTCTAATTATGGAGGATTTAAACTTTAAAAAAAAAAAAAATTTCTTTTTTTAAATGTCCCATCTTTGAAGATTAAAATTTTTTTGGAAAGAATTTTATTAAAATCTGTTGACCATCCTGCTGGCTAACAAACAACGGAACACATTACCTTTCCAGTGGAGGTGATGAATCCTGCAGAGAGAAAACAGATTTTTACACATGCATTTATTTAGCGCCTCCCTGATGTGTAACAAAGGGTTCTGATTGTGTGACTTTGGGGTTGTTGAAGTAAAGTTTTGCATTTTTTCCCTTTTGCAGGTCAACGATTGCGTAATTGGAACTGCAAGCGCAAACAGGAAGTAGATCGAAGTTCCTGAACAGCTCGACTTTCTTTTTTTATGTTTTTACCATTATGGTCACACCAGGAAGAGTTCAGTGTCACCATTTCATGCTTTTGACTAACCAGTTGTGCAGTTTGACACACACTCTGGCGCAAGTCAGTAAGAACCAAAAACCCTTGTATATTCTCAGGGCCTTCATTACTAATCATTAACACAGGCTTTTAAAAATTCTTCACACCTTCATGTAAATCAAGTGGATGTGGACATGTTCATACTTATATAGTCTGAATTATTTTTAAACACTTATATGGGCTCTCTAGGCTTCTTGACTAAAGAGGTCATTCTCTAGTCGAGACATTTAATCTTCATGTCCTGTCATATTTTGATAAATGGACCCATAAAGGTCTGTTTTTATTTAATTTTCGCAATGTAATATGTGTAGCTTGCAGAGACTGCAGATACATGTAGTGTGATTACTCATACAGTGGTTTGTTTTTTTCGTTCTTGGTAACGTGATTTTTTTCAAACTCTTTTATATGTACTCTCTGGCCCACCACACTGTAATAAAGACATTCAGTAGATGTGCTACTTTAATTTTCTGTGCCACCTCGTGTTTATTTCAGACTCCTGCTGTCCACCCCATGAAGGTAAAGCACACACATTAACTCCTGTTTACATCTTTGGTCAACATTTTCCCAAGTTCACGCCAGTGTTTTGTATGAATGCAAGCATTTTATTTCTACTTTTTAGTTATTGCAGATGCAAATCATTAACTGTTTAAGTGAAAACCTAAAGTTGAGCTTGGAATGGGACACACATGCTGTGAACTTTGTGGACCTACAGATACATGAACACCTACAACTGACTGAAATATCATATTACATGTGGACATATTTCACCCCCATAGCTCATTAAAGATATTCCTTATGGATGAATCCGTCGGTGGTTCTGATCAGGATTTCAAAATTCAGACTTCTCTCAGAAGCTCTGTCACTTGAGAGAATTAAACTGCTCAGTCCTAAAACAGAACAAGAGCAAATCCAGAAACTTTCCTTTGTTATACATGACAGAAAAGAAGCTTCCCTCATCAAACATCTAAGGGTCAGTCATTGTAATCTAAGATAGTGGTGTTGTTCCACTAGCTTAGATTTTGTTCAGAGTTTGCTTAACTTGTCTTCAGGATTTAAAATTAAGTTATCTAAAATATTTTGGCAGAATTTTTAGAATTTCGTATGTGTCCACACCTGTACTTCAGTTAATAGAGATGTTAACTTTCATGTCGACGGAGATAAAAAATCACTCCTTAAACATAGAGATGCGTATTGGATTTTAAGGCCACCAGTTAGTCTGGTCTGAGAGTAGATTTTGACTTTTGATTTTCTTTATAGTTACAACCTGAGTTGCAAATTAAAGTCATAATCATTTTTGTTTTTGTTTTTTTTGACCCATCTCCTCCAGTTAATATTCTTGAAAGTTATATTTGTTCCTCCAAAGGCTCCTTAAGTGCACCAACCTGATTTCCTCAGTAAATAAATTACATATTGATACTGCTTTTGCTTGAATGTGGTTTTATGTTAATGTTAGATGTTTGTTTCCTATTGTGGATTTTATCCTCCTTTATCTACATCATTCTTAGCTACAAAAAGGATTTTTATCAGTCTGTGAGTGGGCTTCGGTTTTTATTTTTCTGTGTTGTATTTGTATTGTGATGCCCCTGGAGGCCAGGCAGAGAAAATGCTGCAGACTCTCAGAGTTGTACGCCTGTGGTTTTTGCAGCTGTAACTCGTTTCTTTGTGTTGCCACACCCTGCAGAAGGCGACACGCGTTTGTGTGTTTGTTTTGGTTTTCTTGGTGTTTCGTTTTAATGTCTCTAAACCCACTGATATAAACTCCTTTTACTTTTCTAACCCACCTTGGTTTCTTGGACCTGGATTTTGTAACTCTTCCATCATTTAGTTATTGCAATAATTGAAAATCACCTTGCTTATCTACAAGTTGTACAAGTTAATCCTCCTTTATTTTGGGATATTTTATGAGTTTAACAGGCTGGCAGACGCTGTTGCAGATTTAAAACCCAGGAGCACAAGCAATAGATAAAACTTAGAGGCTTTTAAATAATTTAGTTAGATTTTAGAATTAAGTGGAAAAAGACTGATGCTCATTGTTTAACCAGTAGGACAGTCACATTAGTCACACTTAGGATAAGACAGAAGTTTTTAACCCCATAGGAAACCCCTTATTGCTTGGAAAACAAAATTAAATCACCTGAAATTAAATGCAGTGCCGAATGGAAAAGCAAAAGATATACAGTTGAAACCAGAAGTTTACGTACACTGTATAAAAAGACAGAGAATCTTTTTTTTTCTAACTATCTGACATTAAATCAGACTAAACTTTTCCTGTTTCAGCTCAGTTAGGATTACTAAAATTATGTCTATTTGCTAAATGCCAGAATAATGAGAGAGAGATTTTTTCAGATTTTTTAAAAAATTACTTTTTTCAAAGTCAGAAGTTTACATACACTAAGATAACTATGCCTTCAACTGTTTGGGAAAGCCCAGATGATGATGTCATGGCTTTGGAAGCTTTAGATTGGTTAATTGACAACATCTGAGTTAATTGGAGGCACACCTCAAACACTCATGGGAAACTCTAAAGAAACCAGCCAAGATATCAGGAAGAGAATTGTAGACCTCCACAAGTCTGGTCCATGTTTGGGTACAACTTCTAGGTGCCTGAAGGTTCCACGTTCATCTATTCAAACAATCAAACACAAGTATAAACACCATGGGAATGTCCAGCCGTCATGGCGCTCAGGAAGAGGACAGGTTCTGTGTCCTAGAGATGAAGTGTTTTGGTGTGAAATGTGCATATCAACCCCAGAACAAAAGACCTTGTGAAGATAAGACTAGAACTAAAAGGTAACAACTAATACTGCTAATAATTCTGATGTAGTAAAGTAATATTACACGTGATAATCAAATATTGCACATAAAGTTGAAGTGTTCAACACAAAAATGAAATTATGCACATGAAGTTAAATTATTGCAACTGAAAAAAGGAAATATTGCACTGACATATTGTACATGAAAATGAACTCTAACTCATTATAATGTAATGTTGCACATGAAGTTGAAATATTGCACATGGAAATTATGTATTGCACATGATACTGAAACTGATTTTGCATAAACTATTGTGAAAGGTAACATTGGAGATGACATATTATATTACTCTTGTTTGCTTCAGTCTCAGATTGGACACTTTACCAGTGTTTTTAATCGTTTACAAATGGCACAACACATATTTACTGTTTTTCTGTCTCATTAATTTTCTTTATTCCTCTCAATTTTTTTTTCTTTTTAATTTAAAATATATTGATGATTTAACAATCTTAACCTGATATTTACAGCAATAAAGCAAATTAACTGAAAAATGTTTTCTTCTCATGGCATTGCCCAGAATTTAATCTACATGTGAATTTTGCAGAAGATTAAGCAAATGATGTGAATCTAATGTGGTTGTTTGTCTTGTAACAGCAAAGACAATAGTGTTTTTGAATCTTATATAAAGTTGTTCAGCTTTTGAAAAGTGATCATTTCAATCTATTTTTGATCAACAGCCTTTTTTTTTTTTTTTTTTTACTGCTGTTATTATTAGTAGCATTAAGGCTATGTTTAATATTTCATAATTTATTTGATTTATTTTGTGTCGGCCAAAGTCTGGCTCGTCTGTCTGGAATCCTGTTAAAGGCGACGCGTCGCTGTCTGCTGCTGCAGAGATCAGATGGGAAGAACATTTGAACAAAATGCTGCTCAAACTTCGGGGCCTGGATAACCCGGCCGGACTCCCTGCCCTCTGCCCGGCCACACACGGTCCTCCCGGAGGCTGCTCTCTCTACTGAAACGGTGAGTTGACCGTCGGCGGCGGCGGCTGCTGCTGCTTTTTGTAGCCGCCGTGGGAGCTAGCTAGCAGGCTAACGTCACATCTGTAACGGTGTGACCGGAGAGTGAAGCTCCGGCGGCTCCACAAACTGCTGCTCCGGCTGCTGTCTGCCAGGAGCCGAGACCAGCGTCCGCAGAAAGCGTTTCACCACAGAGCTGCGTGGATTTCTGTAGCGCTGCTTTTCGAGCTTGTCAACTCTCAGTGTGTTTGCAGTCCAGCTGTTGATTTCCCCCAACAACACAGCAACAAAGTGCGGCTGTCATGTCCTCAGTGAGATGTGGACATTTTCTGGTAATTACTTTCCAAATGGAGGAGGCTCTGCAGAGAGGAGCTGCCTCAGCTGTAAATAAAGTCCACATGAAACTGTTGATCATTCTGCTGTCACTTGGAGCTTTTCACTGCAGATATGTGGTGTCATCTGTGCAGAAACAGTGTAATAATATGATTCATATGCAACATATTCAACATGCATCACAGGCAGCTGCATGTCACCCTGAAAGCTGTGACAGCAGCAGCAGCAGCAGCAGCTTTATGACTGGAGCTGTGATCCAACAAAGACACACTGAAGCTTCTCAGTTGTGCTTCTTGACTGTCTCAACTAGGAATCATTTGCAGTGAATTTTGTAAATTAGAAGCAACAGCAGGACCAATCAAGTCAGCGTCTCCTTGATTGGCTGCTGTTCTCTGCATTTTCCATCTCCCACACATATGAGGTGAA